GGCAGAGAATGGAAATGCCATAACTCTTTCTGCATTTGTATCAGTACTTTCAATGTTAATTTGGTATGGGTTTTCGTAGGCCTTACAAGAACGTAAAATATTGCCTAGTCTGGGAGAAAACGGGATTTAATCTTGCATTCTTTGGGGCGGGTACCTGAATGCTCAGTGTACTTGCACCAATACTCTGTCACTTTTCTTTATAAAGAGAAAGAAAAAAGTTCCCGAAGGTGCTTGGCTCTCATTTGGGCACCAAAGTGGAATGGCTGGGCTCCAACATGACTTCAGTGCCCCACTCCATTAGGAGAAAATCTGCTTGCTTGGTGCAGGGAGCTAGGGTGAGTTTACAGGGGTCTGCAGGCTCAGTAGCTGTGGTGGTCTGCTCATCTTTGCCTTTGGACCAGTTTGTCTCTTGCCTGGAACCACGGATCTGGCAGAAGCAGGTGGGAGAGCAGCATCTTGTTTCCATTTGATGTGGAGCAGAGGGATGTTCCAGCTGCTGTTTCCTTCATCCTCAGCGCATGTGTCTCAGCTCTGATGCTGTTCCTCCAGTAGCATCATGGAAACCTCATGACTTAAGGTTCCGAGTGGCTCTCTCTGTGGGGTTTACAACTTTTTTGGTGTCATCTTATATCGCTGCGCCTCAGTTTCCCGAGCATAAAGTTGGGGTGGGAATAGCTCATTACTGCCAAGAAGAGGTGATGATAAGTTCATTTGTTGTTACCAGCTGTTTGTATCTGCAGTGGGAAGTAATGTTGAAAAAGCCTCTGAAGGAGGTTTTTGATATTCACTGTGTCGTGCTGTTCACATCGGTGAAGCTATTTTTAAGTGTCCAGCTGACACTGACATCCTGGAATGTAGTGACCCTTAGGTTTGGATAATGTGTTTTCAAAACTCCCCAGATGCATGCTTCCCTTGTGCAGTCCTCCAGAAGGCCTCTGTCTCCAGCACAATAAAGTTCCCTTGAAGTGCTGCTGTTGGAAATGACCAACAAAAGCAAATGAAAGGAAGCTTGCCCATAGAAAACTGCCTCTAAGGCAGCAGAATCACACCAGCGGTGCTCAAGACCGCCTTTGTTTTCGTGAATGTAGCACTTGTGAGAGATTGGCTTCAGCCCCTGGAGACTGAAGTTTTCTGCTGATCTGCCCTGAGAATGTGGCTCACCTCTGCCGTGTTCAGGGCTTGGTCTGCAGGCATCTTCAGGGCTTGGTCTGCAGGCATCTTCAGGGCTTGGTCTGCAGGCATCTTCAGGGCTTGGTCTGCAGGCATCTTCAGGGCTTGGTCTGCAGGCATCTTCAGGGCTTGGTCTGCAGGCATCTTCAGGGCTTGGTCTGCAGGCATCTTCAGGGCTTGGTCTGCAGGCATCTTCAGGGCTTGGTCTGCAGGCATCTTCAGGGCTTGGTCTGCAGGCATCTTCAGGGCTTGGTCTGCAGGCATCTTCAGGGCTTGGTCTGCAGGCATCTTCAGGGCTTGGTCTGCAGGCATCGCTTCTAGATGCCCGAGGCCAGTTGTCTTCATTACGCTTACCACCAGAGTGGAAAGCAAGCTGATACAGTTTGGTTCAATTATGAAGTACTTTAATTTGTCATCAAAGCTCAGAGCTTCTCCATTGCCTGTTGTGGCCGGTGCTGAGCTAGCACGTGTGATGACTGTGCTGAAGCAGACACTGGCAGTGTTGGCGAGGATGTTGGTGTGTTGAGCGGGAAACAGCCCAACCACCACATGCAAGCGGAAGCCAGAAAGCGCGTGAAATGCAGAAGCTCTGGAGAAAGCTAGAAAAGCTGGAAGGAGAAGAAGTGAGGGAGAAGTGACTGGAGATGCGTAGGAGGATAATTGGGATGAGATGTGAGACTGAGACTGTAAGATGCATGTAACACATGTGAGGAGGAGCAGGTGTCCTCAGCCTTATGGTTGGGCTGAGATAAGAATTTAACATTACGCTGTAAGTTTTGAAAATGTCATGGCTGATCGTTTTGTGCCCGTACTGCGACGTTGTGCACAGACAAGGGGCTTGTGAACGGTGACACCCAGTGAAGAGAGCACTGGGCACACGCACGTGGCTGCGTGGGAGCTGTGGTTGTGGGGCAGCTGTCTACATGTGGTCCGGAGGAGATGTCCCCTCGCGGGAATGATTGATAGCTCAGCTTTCACTGGTAGCTTTGCTATAAATTAATGCTCCTTAGAAGCTCTTGCCTGAAAAAACACCACTTTATGCAGAGGAAAGCTGAAATCTTCCTCACTGGGATTTTTTGGTGTTGCTGGTGAGTTGGGGGGGGTCTGACCAGTTTGGCATCTTTGTGTGAGCGTTACCTGTTGACACAGCACTGCCTTCTTGTGGTCTGCTCCCGACGCACTGGGAGGAGAGGGACCTTTGAACCGTGCCTGTTCCTGCCATAGCTGCCTGGGCTGTGATGAACTTCACGCATTTCTGCTGCTGTTTTCTGTAAGCTTGTGTTTTCTCTTATGGACTACCCGGCCTAAACCCGCTCCTCTGCGTGAGGAGCACCTTAGTCCGAAAAATGAGCGTGAGGAGTGGGCTGAGAACAGCCCTGTGTACCGTGTCTAGGGCAGAGCTGTTGCCAGAAGACCTGTTGCCAAAGGTCCTAATCGTAGGCTTACATTTTCTTTTAATCAAACTCTCAAGGAGAACGTTTCCATGGCTCAATTTCAGTGGAAACTGGGGTTTGTTTTGATTCGGACATTTCCCCTGCCCTGTTTTTTGCCCAGCCAGCAGCACCACTTGGGGGTTCCAGGGTTAAATTTCCCTGTCTGTTTTTGTGGTTTAATTATTTTACCTTTCGCCTGGAAAAAAACTCAAGTGGTCCCCCATGCAGCGTGGAACAGAAGTGACAGATTTTTCTCCAAGCTGGTAACGTGCACCAGGAAGCGGGCCCAGCGGGAGCAGCCCTTTCGCTCCTGGCCCTGGCCAGCCTTTCTGCCTGAAGCGTATGCTTTTTTGGGAAGGAGGGATGGGGAATATGGTCTTCTGCTGGAGGAGACAAGTGGGTGGTTGCTTCTCCAAGCCCCACAATCCCTCCTGGGGAGGATCTCCTGTGCTCATACAGGAAGCCAGCTCTGACTGTTTCGACCACAGGACCACTTAACTCAACCACAGTCCATTGCAGTTAAACACTTATTTTGAATATATGTGCTGGGAACAAATGTTGCCCAGAAAAGATATTTTTTTTTTTGTATTTTTTTTTTTTTTTCTCCTTCCTGTGGTGCTGTTGCTGTTGGTGAATCCGGAGCGTCTCTTCCTCTTGCAGCAGAGATGCAACATGTTGTTCTGCGTGGGAGCTCCAGAGCTGCTCTTAACCGCTCGTAATCGCAGCGAGCGCCGAGGTGGTGGGTGGAAGGACGTGAGCTGGCGAGTGCCGAAGCCGTGTGTGCCCTCTGCATCGGCAAAACAAACGGAAGCCTGAAGAATAACTCTCTTTCAGGAGGCTGGAGTGGTGTCAGGGCTCGTCGTCAGTGCCGTGGTAGCAGCTGTCAGCCCGTCCCAGCGTTGCTGGAATGCCAAAAGCTCCCTAAATGTTATTTTCTGTAGCAGAACACCAGTGCTGTCCCCAGCTGCGGGGAGAGACGCAGCCCTGTCTCCGAGTGCCCCCGCTGTCCCCAGGCCTGTCGTCTCGAGGCAGCGCCGTGCCAACGGGATGCTCGGGGGACCAGGCTGCTTTTCTGTCTGCAGGACCAACGGTCGTGCTCGTCTCCTTTCCTTCCCGTGCTCCTTTGGCTCCGAGGTTGGGAGGGGAAGAAATGGCATGGTGCTGAATTGGCTTTTCCTGGGTTGTGCAATTAAGAGGAGGAATTTGGGAGGCCGTGGGACTGAGGGTGACGACGTGCAGGGTGTGGGCACGCTGTTTCCACCCCGCCTGTGCTGGGTAGGGGCACATTTATGTGATTAACTTTGATTATTCAGAACGTGTCCTGGGCACATTTCAGGCTGTGGATGGGAGAAGCTGCCCTGCTTGTTTCAGATTAGTTGCAACCCTTAGAAATAATGTTGTCCTGTCCCATGTTTGTGTTTTGATAGAATCACAGAATGGTTTGGGTTGGAAGGGACCTCAAAGATCAGCCAGTTCCAACCCCCCTGCCATGGACAGGGACACCTGCCACTACACCAGGTTGCCCAAAGCCCCATCCAACCTGGCCTTGAACACTGCCAGGGATGGGACAGCCACAACTTCTCTGAGCAACCTGTTCCAGTGCCTTGCCACCCTCATCGTAAAAAATTTCTTCCTTAGATCCAATCAAAATCTCCCCTCTTTCAGTTTAAAGCCATTGCCCCGTGTCCTGTCGCTATATACCCTGGTAAACCTGTGCATTCACGTGCAGCCCACGTGTTTCTCCCCTTCCCCGTTTCCATATAGCTGCAGCGAGCTTGGAGTTTGTACCTGAAGCTTTGCATTTCTATTCATGTATCATAGAAGTGCCAGATGGGTGGGAGAGCCCATCTCTGCTCCCAGAGCAGCTCAAGTGAGGGAGGGGGGAAAAAAAGAAATCCTGAAGATGCTGCTTCTCCTCAGTCCCAGCCACGTGCTTTCCTTCCAGAGCCCCTTCTCTGGCATAGACAGCCCTGCTGCCTCTGACTTGTGACATTTGGATGCAAAAGATGGAGCCAGACAGGGAATTGGCACCCTCCAGATTGGGGTGACAGTGGAGGTCTTCAGGGGGTGGGGGGAGAACGGTGTTGGTGAGAACTGCAGGCTTCTCAGATACGTCGCTGGTCTTGGCTGATGAGCTGACCGTGGCCCGTGGGGTCGGGGTTTTGGGGGCACCACTCTGTTTAGATGTTCGGATTCCTTTGTGAAGCCAAAAAGCGTCCGTCTCCCACACACATGACATTCCAGAGATGTCAGACAGCTAGAGAGAGGTTCCCATGGCGCGCTCTGCCCCGGGGCTCTTGCCCTCTCTGGCTCGCACAGCCTCCAAACCAGACTGTGGCGGGGAGCTGCGGAGCGGGAGCACCTGGGATGGGTTTCCATGGAGGGACTCGCGGCCGCATGAGGTGCTGCGACGAGTCTGTGCCACCGCTGCGTTACGTCTGCAAGAAAACATGCGGGGAATGTCTCCGGAGTCCTCCCCAGGCGAGTGTTTCGGCTGGTTCTGGCGGCGGCCGTGTCCCTCGGCTGAGTTCAGCCTGCCTGCAAAGGGCTGTGCAGCCATGCCTTCAGCTGTGTGCTGGCTTCACGCGTGGTCCCGGAGCTCGTGTTGCTCATGCTGGAACATGGAACCTTCCCGCAGTAGCAGCCCCAGTTGCTCAGGTCGGTTGCTGGGAGAGGAGACTGGCCGTGCCGTGTTAAACCATGTGCGTATTCCCGCAGGTGCCCGGTGTGCGTGGGGCAGCTCGGGTCACAGCGACATCGCTGGGTCTCTCGCCCAGACCCTGCTTCCAGCAGGCTGCTCCGGGCCTGGGATCCTAATCCGAGTTGATCCTGGCTTTCAGCTCTGCTACAGTGAAAAGGTTGCCTGGAAAGGGGCTGCTGGAGTTGGCCTCCCGGGAACGCTCCTTCCGTGTCTTCTGCAGCAGAGGTGTTTCCAGCTCGTGTTGCAAATATCAGTTTATTCTGTAGTTTCACACCGAACGGACAGCTCTGTCAGCTGATCTTTTGGCTATATACTTTTTTTCAGATAAAGATTTTTTTTCTTTTTTTCTTGCCTTGGGTCTTCAGCTTAAAGGTATTCTGTGCTAATACACTTGGAGGCTTTCTGGAGGCATGTGTTAATAGGATATAGAGCAGTGAGCTTATTAGCGTGGTGACTCTCGTTTAGCCCTCGGAGCTGAGTGGCTCTGAGAGGTAAAACTTCTCCTTCTGGTGTCTTCCAGGCAGAGTCACAAGGAGACTTGTCCAGTAGCTGGAAGAGCCGTTTGTGGAGATACTGTGAAACGGTTTCATAAGGCAAACTGGGGAAAAAGCATACAGTGGTGACCAAGACTCTTGGGTTCCTATTATATCTCTGTTTTTTTTTGTCTAAAAATACACTGAATAATAGTAGTGATTGTAATTGGGCAATAAGTTCTGGAAACGTATGTGGGAATTAGCTGTGTTTATTTTAAGTGGTAACTAAAACAAATAATCTTGGTGGCTGATATCCAGCATGGCTTGTTCGGTATGATGGGGACCCAGATCCTTTCTTCCTCTTTGACGTTTCTTTCAAACTATGCCAAGCCTTTTCCATGCCACTCCTTAGGGGTGGGCACTCAACTTCTCTCTCGGCTTTGTCCCACGGCCATTTGTATTTGCCAAGTTGCCTCTTCTTGCTCGTGTTGGGATGGTGGGGAAGGGAAGAGGTCCTGCTGGTCAGGTCAGTTGAGTGCAAGCTGGGAGTGCGTCTGCTGCCTTGGGTGAACTTGGGAAAGTCTCTTACTAGATAAGGTGATAAGATTAGTCTCTTGTCAGGGTTAATTGCGAAGTTCCATTACATTAAAAGCCTCAGCACGTCCTGAACAGATAATTTTGAAAAGAAGTGAACTGAGGCTGTCTGGTGTGTTCGTGTTTGTCTGTATTTGGGTTTCTTTTTAAACAGACTACAGGAAAAGTTATGTTTGTGTTTTGGTCTTTGCTTTCTGGGTTTTGAATAGCTCATGGGGGATGGAGTTCTCAGGCTGACGAAAAGCTGAACTTTCTCATCCTTCAAGGTCATTTTGGAGGAAATGTCTCTCATTTTTGGTTCCACAGTTTTCTCTGTTTTAACCAACTTTCCTCATTCTCAAACGCAACATTCATGTTTGCAAAACATTGGGTGCATAATTCCCGGCAATTCCTGTTTTGCTGCTTTGTAAACTCATCCAGGACTTGTGATATGGACAAAATGCATATTTAATCCTTTATTAATTAAGAAAGACCTCACAATTAATTAATTAGGCTTCGTAAATGTTTTGGGAAATGCTAAATAACAGCTTAGGAAGAGGAAGCATGTGGGAATCTTGCTTTTAACGTAACAAGTCAGAGAAGAATTTAAGCCAGAAACAGTCAGCTTGTTTGCAGAAAATTCAAACAGGTTGTGAATGCATCGTCTTGGATGTATGTTGTGTAAGAAAAGATGAGAAGCTTTATTCTCCCTTCAGACTTAGCTCTGAAAGTCAGCAAAACCTGATGTTTTAAGCCTGTGCCAATTCATTTGATTGTGTAGGTTTTTTATTTTGTGTTTTGTGGTTAGTTGTTTTTTGGTTGTGTGTTTGTTGTTTTTTTTTTTTAAAAAAAAAAGGAAGGGCTGCTGGGACTGAAGCAGAGCGGCGTGCAGTCCAGCTGTTTGCTTGCAAATGCTGGAGTGAACAGGGTAGTGCACAAGGGGAATCTGTGGGTGTGCAGATCCCTGCTCCTGGCTGGCTGCTGGGAGTGCTCGGCGTCCGGAGTGTTGCTGGGATGTCAGGACAAGGTGTGCCGCAGGAGTCAGAACGCCACCTTGGCACCAGTGGCTTGGATACAGGAAAGCAGTTCAGGAGTTTGCCTAAGGAGTTCCTCCTGTGAAAGGAGCTTTGCTGTTTTGCTTTCTTGCTTGAGTCCCTCTCCACTGCTTACAGGTGACTGCAGTGCGTGTTCAGCACGCTGCATTTTTACAGGTGTGCAGCAAAGTGTTTTCTTCCCCAAAACTAGCCTGGGGCGTACGGGACACATCGATACTGGACCAGAGATTTTTTAAATTTTTGTTTTCCCAAGATGCTGAGTGTTGCTCTTTGCAATGCCCTCACTGGTCTCAGGGTTTATGAATACCTCTTAAAAATGGACCCAAAAGCTTTCAAGAAAAGCATCACTTCAGGTGCCATAACCTTTAGTTAGCCCTAAAGGAGAGAACCTCAGCTTTTGAGTCGTCTTGCCTCTGTCATGTAGAGTGGCTTTCATTTTTATTTGGCATATCTTGGTGGTGACTCCATATCTGGTTTCCTCAGTGATGTTTTTGCCTGCCTGGAGTGCAGCTGGGAGCTGGAGGGATATGAATAAAGGCTTGAGTGTCTGGGAAAATTCTTGGCATTCTTAGCAGAGCGGTTTAAAGAGGGGCTGGGAATTGTGGGGTTTTTTTTAGTGTGAGGTTTTTGTTGGGGGAGACTGCAGTGTGGGCTGGGAGCTTGTCATGAGCATGAAGGAACTGGAGATGACTGGCTGAACTGGTGGTGTGTACGTGGAGGGATGGTTCAGAGGCGACTGTGCTCCGGTGCAGTGCCTTGGAAAAGAGAAGGAAGCGAAGGTGGCTGGGGCTTTGCCTTGCCACCGCTGGAGGGAAGAGCAGTGTTACAGTTCCTGGGTCTTCAGGGCTGCCACCGTGGGAAAATCACTGTTGCCCCCCCTCTGCTCAGGCCCAGCAAAGGCAGAGTCACTTGCACCATCTCAAAGGTGTCCCGTTTGGCCACCCAGCACCACCAGTGCCGACTGGAGCGAGGGGCAGCAGAGAAGCTGAAGCACAGCAGGTTGCTGTTGTAAGCCAAGTGTAAATCAGCAGAAACCCCGCATCTAAAATTATCTCTGTGGGTTTGTGTGGTTTTTTTTTCCTTCCTTTCTTCTTCTCCCAGCCTGTTATTATGTGCTCCACAATAGGGATCTGGAATTTTAAGCACATGCTGAAGACTTAACTGAAAACCTTCGGAGTTGAGTGTGTGCTTGCACTTTGCAAATCTGCTTGAGATTAGGTGGCATTTCAGTGTGTCACCTTGAGCCTAGGAGGTGCTGAGGTCTCCCCTGGCCAGCCCTGGCTGAAAGCATGCTTCCTGTCATCTCCAGTGCCAAAGGCACCCACGAGCTCGTGCTCACCAGGTACCCACGAGCTCATGGTCACTGCTCCTCAGCCCACTGTCAAGACTTACTGTGCTCAGCATCTTCAGACTGTTGTCAGAGAACCTCAAATCTGGTCTCATTACCTCTCTTGGGCCATCTCTTTCCACTTAGGCTGCAAAGTGCAAGCTCGTCCACTGATGCTGTAATACATCCGATGGTCCGTAGCCTGTGAGAACAGGAAAGATGGTATTTTGATGTGTGGTGGTGTCTATTTGGAATGTTGCTAGCACCACAGAGTTGCTTTTCAAGCGTCAGGTGTGGTGTTGCTGTTACTACCCCTCAGCTGCTGAGCTTGGCAAAAGGAATGTGTTCTTCATGGAGACTTGAGTCTGTACTTGCTGCTGTTTCTTTGCAAACGTCAAGTGGCGTTTGTTGAGCCAGTGTTCAGGGATGGGGTAGGATCTCCTGAGGGAAGTGATTTGTCAGGTTTTTCTGCATTGATCCAGAAGCTGGGCCAAGCCGCAGGGAGTGCCTGCTTGGACAAAGCAGCCGAATTTGGCTTCTGGCACTGTTTGCCCAAAAGTCTCTGGGCAAGCACTCAACTGCTCCGTGACTCAGTTTCCTTGTGAACTGAGGATAAAACTGCTGTCACCTCTGTAAGGAATCTTGCAGCGACGGGTGTTTGGGGGAGGTCCCCTGGGTGTCACGCAGTTGTGAGGTTGGGGTAGGGACCCTGAAGGAGACCTCTCTGTTCCGTGGTTTGCAGGCATTTTGACTTGCCCGGCTGCTTGAACTGCCCGGTCGGAGAGGGGCTGGCCGCTGGCCTCGGGGCTGCTCGGGCTGCCAGTGGGCACGAGCTGCTTGGATTTAATACACCGCCGGATCCCAGTCCTTTCTCTGTCAGTTGCAATTGAGACTCCCTGCATGAGGACCGAATAATTTCTTGATTCCGTGCATTTCCATTCAGGACCAAGGGAACAGCATCCTACAAACCCCGCTGGTATACGTAGTAATCTCTGTTGCGTGCCCTGTTCTGGTGGTGGGTTGTGGATGGGGAATTGAGAAGGTGAAGTCATTGCTTTGTGACCAACAGCAGTCCCCAGCTGCGCCGGGTGCCGAGCCGGCCCCTGCGGAGCGATGACCGCTCCGTCCCGCCGCGGGAGCGCTGCCAAAGGCACCGTGGCCGTGCGGAGCGGGGCTCGCGGGACCTTTCCCTGCTCTTCCTCTCGCTGGTCTCGGAGTCACGCGGATCGGGGAGCTGCAATCTGTCTGCTGGCGCTGTTTTATCGTTCTGTTTTGATTTGATTGTAACTTGGAAGGGAGAGGATCTGTCCGTGCTCTGCGCTTTGCAGGGTGCCTGGCACGCTGGTCCGTGG